GCAAGTTTTCACCTGATTTCGCGCATTCTAAGAACAAAGAAGAAGAAGAAGAGGAACAAATATAGTGTAAAGTCAACCGGAAGTTCGAAAACCTTTATATTACATAGATGGGAGCAAAGTGAAATATTAACCCGATTCAACCCATATCCAGCTCACAGACATGCTACTTGTTAAGAAAGGATTCTATCTGAATCTGACATATGGTCGATATTTTCGGTAAAATCCAACTATAAGCAATGGATCTATATATTCAGTGCCTAGGGGCATTGTGAACCGTTTTGACTCAATTTACACAATCTTTACTCATAAGGTGGCATACCTCAAATTTACTGTCTGACTTCTAGATTTCTTTCCTGGAATGTGAAAGTGTCTGTAGTTTCAATTTTGCCTATTTTCACACTGTAAAATAAGAATCTCGGAGGAATGCCATATACAAAATATATGTGATACCGCCTCAAAGTGGGCGGTGCCACGCCCTTCGTGCCCCGGCTCCATTAAAGTCTTCTCATACCATCAGGGGTACAATTTAATGTATCTGACGTATTTAATCATTCATTAATCGCGGGGTTTTCATCCGATTTGGCCCATTTTCACATTATTGGTAGGAGTTCTTCCCAAATCATAAGTTTTCTTCGTTCTAGCCTTTTGTGGGCGTGGCAATGTTCCGATTAAGCCCATCTACGAACTCAAACATTTGTTTTGTCAAAGAAAGCGCATGCCAATTTTGAATAAGATACCTCAATTTTTATTCAAGTTACAGCTTGCACGGACGGACCCGAATTTCAACTCGTCTCGCCTCCTGATCATTTATGTTTATGTGTATAACCCTATATCCATCTCGTTATCGGTGATACGTACAACCGTTACAAAATTAGTATACTCTGTAGCAACATGTTGCAGGAATATAAAAACGCGTTGAGCACACCCACAAGCCTTGCCAGCAGACAGTGGAGCCTTTTAAATCTCACCATTAAATTACAACATGTTTTCGTTAAATTTTTCTATATTTGCTTATGCCACATTTGCGCCGTGTTATTTGTCTTTCGACGCGAGCTTTTTGTTGCCGCTTAGTTGTGATGTCATTTTGATTAACGCAAATAAAGTTTTTTCGGCACTTGTGGCGGTCAGCGAACAAAGCAGTTGCAGCCTGACGTGCTAGAGTTCAGAAAAAGTGCCAAAAAGAATTATAAAAATAAAAAAAGAAGCTTTGGAAAAAAAAGTGGAAATCCGGCGTGAAAATGTGGAAACTGTGCTTTAAACTTCTAAAGAAAAATTATTGAATTTTTTCTATCAATTTTATTGTTGCTGACGTGCGATGTCGAAGGTTACCTGCTGGCTGCTGTCGGTGCTGCAGCTACAGCCCGTACTAAAGGTTGCGTATACGCCACGTGCACTGCAATTGAAACGCCTGTTATGAGTTATTATTTGCGCGTAAAGCCGCATTAATACCATTTTTTGTGTTTGTGTGCATGTATGAGTGTGTGTGCGTGTTAACACACTCAATAATCATGGCTTAAAGCATAACATGCTTGTCACATATCAGCGTTATTTGCCTGGCGTATGCACAAGGAGTTGTGCACAATTTTAATGAGCAATGTTGTAGCAAGCAAGCGTATAACTGTATATATGCAGCATTTATAAGCGCTTCGCGAAATATGTGCTTATATATGTGTACCATATATTTACGCTGCATGTATTTATAAATGCGCTTAATTGCAGCGCCCACTACTTAACAAGCGTCATACAGAAAATAATCACATTAAAACCGCGAGTATTTAAAATTTGTTGAAATACCGTTGTAATCAGTGGAAATTACATATATATATGTCAATAATAATTCAACTGTCATATACATGCGCGGCAGAATTATAATATTTAATATAAATATTACAGAAGTTATTTATTCAAGCGTATTCTCTGTCGATATCTCCGTATTTATGCGCATTTAATATACATTTATTACAGCGAATATTACGCATTTAACCCACTAACCCAACATTAACACGATGATATATTATATCATACATTCATACTCATTAATTTGCTCATTTTATAATTAATCTATATGGATTAAGCCTTCTGTTTTCAATTACTGTTCGTATTACAAAATATTTGATATTTATTTGAAATACGTAAATAATTATGTAAGTACTTATATAACAGCAATTTAATGAAATAACGCTCAAATAGTGATTCGAAATTTTAATATCATTTTGCTTGGTATTGAAAAGAGAACAAAATTTCGAGCCTAGAAACTGAGCTCACGGAGCGCTTTTTCACTTAAATGAAAAAATTTACCATCTTATTGTTTTAAACTTCCTTTGTTCGTACTTCTATATATACAGTAGCGTACAAAACCGAGCAAATGTTTACTGGTTTAACTTAAAAATGCCATAAAATATAAAAATATGCAAGTAAATTAAAAACAAAATATTGTGTATTTTATTCGTTGTACAAATTGTCATGCAAGATAACTTAAGATTGAAATATGAAAAAGTAAAAGAAAAAAATTAAAGAAATACTCAATTTTGCTGATAGAAGTACTGTTATAGTGAGCACATAAAAAATATTTGTTATTAGTTAAAAAAAAAAAGTGTTGAAGTAGAATGGGAATTCATCTATTCAAATAACCAGAAAACTACATATAATCGCATAGTAGTTAATATCGAAAAAAGAAAAATAAAAGTAAAAAAACTGAAATATATTACCAGATGCTTTCTAAAGTAACAGGGACTTAAAACAAAAAAATGGTGATGGTTTTTTTCGCCAAATCATTTTTTTTTTATTCAAAATAGTATCCTTCTGCTTCAATGCAGCTTTTTGTACGGTCCAAAAGCATGTCGAACGAGTGTTTTAGCTCATTGGTCGGTATGACTGCCAGTATGCCGGTGCAAACCATTTGCATAACGCTTTCCTTTCATGGGCAAATGCGTTTTTCCGAAAAGGAAGAAGTCGCACGGTGCCATATCGGGTGAATACGGAGAGCGGTTAATGGTTAAAATGTGATGTTTGGTCAAATAATCGGTCACAAGCGTCGATCGATGAAACGGATTCTGAGCAAATTTTGGTCGATATTCAATTTGTGCGGACCAAACCGTGCACACGCCTTTCGTAAGCCCAAACATGCAGTCAAAATGCGATAAATTGATGTTTTGTAGATGTTCAATTCCATTTCCATGAATTTCCATTATAATTTCGGCTAATTTTTGATGAATTCAGACAGTTTCGATGGAATTTCCGGTCATTCGAATTAAAACGTTTCGGTGAAAGTTTTACCAATTCTAAAACAAAGTTTAATGTTGACTCTTTGTTCGAAGCTCATTTTCGCACCGATAACACAAACATACTAACACTTAACTGCCGATACGCATTAAAAGCGTCTTAAAAAATTAAGGGCTCTGGACCAAGTATTGAAACCATTACGACTGCGTATGTTTGCGGAACGTGCAGAGCTGGGCAAATTTATTTATTATTATAATTTTCTGTCTTTTATGTTTGTCTTTGAGGTTAATTTTGAAGTTATTTTTGAATAAATGTGTTAAGGAATAAAATACTTTTCGTTTTATTGAATTTATGTGGTACATGTTCATATGTAAGTATGTAAATATAGTAAAATATTCATTTTCTTGGCAACTCTATGTAACTTTTCTGTGGTTCTTGCGAATTTTAAATTTGGTATTCAAAAATGTAGGAACTCAACAGTTTCAACAGTAATAAATTCGCTTTGAAAATAATTAATTACAACAAAAAACTGCGCTAAACAAGCGCAAACCACCATTAAGGTTATTAAATATTTATAAACATATGAAGCTGCTAGAAACCAATCTTTTTATAAACCTGGCTGATCAACAGTGCGTATACGTAACACCAAAAAATGATAATGTTTGCCTTTTGCTTACAACTCCAAGCAGTGGCCACTGCTTCATATTTCAACTATACATATACAAGCATAAATATATGTATGTTCGTTGCGTAAGTTTCTGTTTGTCGCCAATTCACATGCGGCGGCGACCGCTTGTGGTTTCCCATCATGCATACATAATGAGTGTGTGTGCAAATTGTTTGTGAATTATATTTTTTCGCTGCCMACGCCTTGTAATGCCAGTATGTATGTATGTTTGTATCGATTTACTCGGTATCCCTTACCAACACGGTTATATTCCGCTCTGCTTATTTCACTTGTTTACTATTTTTTCTCGGCTTGTTTGCAATTTGCTCGCATTATATCTGTAGCAACGGTCGAGCAGCTGACGGCTGGGTTGTATTGCGGAGCACACAGGAAACTAGAGTATTAAATCAGGGAATAAATAAAATGCGAAATCCACTGAGCGGCAAGCAAATTTTAATCCAATTCAATTTGCGGTTATTCATAAAATTCTATTTAATACACATAAGTGCATATATGTATAAGCCATAATCAACAACTTCCGCATGCGCACACACACAATCACACACAAACATTTTTTAAATATACCGGTGTAGTAGTGCTTACGAAGATTGTAGATTTTGTTCGCTTTTGGCCATGTTTTTCTGTGCGCTTCATTAAGTCGACAAAGTTTTTGTGAGCGCGTGAGCGCACTATCACGCCCACCGCAGCCGGTCGCTCATGGTTTATATAAGGCTACGCCCATTTTTATACACTCTTTTCACCAGCTCTGGCGCAGCACACCCACTCTGCTTGTAACATTTAATTTCAATTACCGCTTCGTCAATAGTTGTGTGCGTGCATGTATGTGTGTGTGCGAATACATATGTTTGTATGTGTATAAATAAATTTGCTTATATGTTTTCTCGGCTCGTTTGATTTTACATGCATTAAAATATTTATTTACAGCCACTTAAAAAGTAGTGTGCAAAAAGTGTAAACTGTTGCATACTTCAAGGCTTTAGTTTTTCACATAGACATGGTTTTCACCCTTTATGTTTCCAATTGAATATAGATTTAAGAAATTTTGCTGAAGTTTATTACTAAATTCTTCTTCTTTTTCTGTATTTTGCAGCTCGTCGGTGGCGAATTTGATATGGAATTAAATTTTGTGATACAAGATGCACAAAATATTAAACACATGCTAGAACTGCTGGATCATTGTCCGCCAAATCTACAGGTAATTGCTTAACATTAAACTTTTTTTAAGTATAAACATTAGTATTATGTGTGAAAGACAGATGGCTCTACCATACTAAAACCGATATAAAAATCCTATGCTTGATACATTCAAGTTCATAAACATTTGGAAATTTTATAGAATGATTTTCAAATAGAGTTCATAAAATGCTAAAATTATTTACAGTATTTGTTGGTACATACTTTTTTCTTTTTTCTGTTTTCTGCTTAGTGTATACTTAAAATGCATTTTCTACATAGTTTTTTATTTTCAAGTAATATTACTTTTTACTAGAAATGTAATTTAAGGGGTTAGGTGGGTTTGAAAATTTCCAAAAATCGATTTTTATTGTTTGCTTTATTAAACTCTACAATACCTCTAGAATATAGTCCTAAATTTTAAAGTGGATCAGAGTAATAATTTGTGCTTTAAAGGCTAGCTGTGCTAAGTGCCCTGTCTTTAAACGCGTTTCCCTCGAAACTGTTTTTTTAAAGTCGGTGGACACGATTTCTCGAAAAGTTAACGAGATTTACTTCGTATTATCTGCACGTTTTTGAAAAAATATTATCTAGTTATTGAGCGCAGGACTTTTTTTTTGTTTCATTACAACTTATTTTTCTGTCCAAAAAATGCCGAAAATTTAAAAAAATGGGATTTTTTGTTCAAAGTCCGAGAAAAGAAGGACAAATTCAATATTTTTTTATTTCCTACGTTCAAAAATGAGTTTTACATATGTACTAACAGAATATGCTTGGTTTTTTTAATTTTATATGAGAGACACCCAGGGAAATGCAGTCTCAACGGCGGAATTTTCAACATTTTTGTATCGAAATTTCAGGAGATATTGTTCGAATATATACCTTTGATATAACGTATTATATTTTTCAAACATATGATTGCTTGTATTAAAAAAAATCGTAAAAATACCTTTTTTGTACCTTTGAAACCCACCTAACGCCTACGAAGGATGGCAACTCTACTTTTTGATATACCACATTATAAGCAAAAAAACTAACATTATTTTGAAATGTTTTTTATTGTGACATGCAGTTTTTGTAATACTAATTCTTCGTTATTTTTTAAGATAGGTGGCAACTCTGCAAAAAATGTTTGTCATACTTCCCTTTACTTTTATTCAAATACAAATACATATATTTTCGGTGTATTCTTTTTATATAAAAAATCCCGTTTCCAATTCTCTGTTTAATATAAAGAAATTATAAACTGGTGGCAACTCGTTCAAAAAATTGTTGCAATAAACAACTTAAAATAACTTTTTCGAATTAACTTTTATTTTCAAATACTATTAGACTTTTTAAAATTGTTATTTTTTACACTGATGGCAATTCTACTTTTTTATATTCAACATTATTAAAAAAGTCGTAAATGGATCATACATCTTTCTGCTTAATATAAAAAATCTAAGACAGTTGGCAACCCGTTTTAGATATTTATGTTATAGAAAGCTTGAAATACCTCATCCACGCCTTAAATTTCAAGTAATATTATATTAACATATTTAGAATTTTTTTTTGAAAAAAGGTGGCAATTCGGATTTTGCTATTGCATATTATTAAAAAACAGCTCACAGTCGTTGCTTAAAATGTATAAGGGATATACATATTTTGTAGAAATTTTATTTTTCAAAATAAGTAGCAACTTTAATTTTTATATTCCACACAGCTCACATTACGTTGCTTGAAATTTAAATGACAGTGACATAAATTTTTTATAAATAAAATTTTTTGTTTTTATTTTGTTAACTATGTGGCAACTCTGCGAAAAATATATTTGCCATTAGGAGTGCTTTAAGAAAATTGTTCACACTTGGCAACTCTATTAAACTTTTCTGTGATTCTGGCGATATTTAATTCTGGTATACAAAAATGTAGGAACTTAACAGTTACTATGGGCATAAAAAAATAGAATAAGCAAATTCAGTTATCAACATTAAAGTCAAAGGGGAATGTATGCAAAACCAGTTTTCCAACAGGTAAAAATGTCAAAATCACAATTTTGCAAAAATATTAAAATTACGGTGCCGATAGTACAATACACAGGTGCACCTCTGAGGCACACACATATTATACATTATATATGCAAGAAAGTGTGTTACTTTAAAAAAAAAAAAAAAGTCAAAGTTACATGAGCACATCGAAATTTTCGACACGTCACCAGCGGCGTCACTGCAAAAAGGTGTAAAGCTCACCGTAAAAAGTGCGTGTTTTTCTACTTCTCCAGCGGATGTGGCAAAGTGGTGAGCTGGCGGCATAACTGTATTTCCTGCAATAAAGCGCACACGCACGCACGCGCGGCACGAAAAACTTAAATCACATTTATGCAACATAAAAGTAAAAGTTATTTATTTGTCACACACACTTTACCATTTTCATAGTTGTTGTTGTTGCTCACCTGTGACGCTAATTTGTTATGCCAAGCACGACACATTGACGCAAACGTGAGCGGCAAGCGCAAGTGTGCCAAAGTGCACCGCTGTATATCTATATATTTCTGTATGTGTGTGTGTTTGTGTATACTTGTTTATGTACAGTTGTATGTACATATGTATCTATATGAGTTTATGGTGTTACTTTGGTCAAGTGGCAGCTAAGTTGCGCTCTCGTGGGTATGAGCAGATATAATTTACTACTTTCTTGTGCATTCGTTAGCCGTAAAGAGAATTTATTGTCACCGACGCTGCTGCTTGTTGGCCCCGCTTTAGCCCTCTGTTGCTGCGGTGCTGCTGGATTTGTTAGCGCTCTCGATTTGTAAGCGTTGCAAGCATTGTTTTAACACACTTGCCACACTTGCCATTCGTGCCACGTTTACTACATTTATTCTTGTTGTTGTTGTTGTTGTTGTCGACCATGTTTTATTGTTTGTGCCGTTATTGCTTTTAACAAGCCCGGCTGTTGTTACTGCACCTTGACTTACCGTTAGTTAGGCAGCATGTTGCCTATCGCCTTGAACGAAATGTTCAAAAATCACAAATCGCCTGCCTACAACAACAACCCCTCCACCCTACCAGCAGCGCTGACAATTTTACACTTTTTGCTTTTGCTGCTTCCTTTTATGCTTTCATTTGTTTGCCTTACACTTGTTCACCTGCCAACAACAGTTATGTTGGCCGTAACACTAACGGTTACAGTTAAAGTGGTAATACAACCCTTTTGCTCTTGTCCTTGTCCCATTTCCGCTTCAAAAACTTGTTACCTTTGTAATTGTTGTTGTTGTTGCTTGTTATCTTGTGCCTTGGTGTGGGTGTAGCCTGTCTGAACTTGACGTTTAACAAACGTGCCAGCGCAAATGCCCAGCGGAAGCTACCGGTGTGTTGTAGTTGTTGCTACTGTAAAGCGTAGCAAACATTGTGGCTGACAAAAATTAACGCGCCTGATTTTGTAATTCTTCATTATAACAAATAACCGTTATGCAGGCATTCGGTTAGCTCGCCTTTTCAATAGTTTAGCCAATTAAGTTACTTAACTGAAGGCAACTGAGTTCCAAATAGATTTGGTTTTTGTGAAGCCAAGCATTTGTACGAGTAGATATAAATGTGTGTATTTTAGGGTAGTCCTTGAAATCGATAACTTCTTCCTTACAATATCACCACGTTATTTGGTTTTAGCAAGCGCAAATAAGGCTGGCGCACGATGAAATTAGTACAAGAAACAGTTTAAATAGATTCTTTCATGTACACGTATTGAAAATAAAATAAAACATTTTGTTTTTTACAAAAATTCATTTTGTGTGTAAATTTATTGAAAATACTTTGCGGATTAATTATATTTTATAAATAATTTAGCTTTTTCCAATATACCTTCCATTTGTCTTTTAATAATATATTCCGAAATAGTTTTGCTTGATGAAAATCAATTTTTCGAAAAATTGCTAGTAATGTCAGCAACTTGTTTTGTGCTCTTCTTAACCCCTTTCACCAGCCCCCACATCTTTCGAAGGGTCTGATTAGATTTGCAAATACTGACACAAAAGATATATTGTTCTTCTCATGCCACTCAACTGCCAATTTGCTATAATGGCCCATCCAATTCAGGCCAAAGAAATGTGGACACCTCAGTTGTTTTAGGAGTGACAAAAGTCGCTTCTGCAAGCACTTCTGGATATATAAATTATATAATATATATAAATTAGTGAAACTTTGTCTTTTTTTGTATGTTTAAACTCCTCTTGGACATTGCCTCTGTGATGAGCAACAAAAAAAAAAAAAAAAAAAAATAAAAATAACACATGGAAGCTGAAAAAAGTCCCTAAGCATATATGTACATATGTACGTCTCATAATCCATAATCCATAATGCAGCAGCTCGATATTTTGTTCCTCTTTTTAACGTAAAATGAACTTTATCACCTTAACTGCTTTATTACACGCGACACGATATTCGGGCAAACATTTGCTGCTCTATCAATTTTTTTCATGATCCAATTTGGTTTATCGTTATAAAATCAAATAATTTTGCACGCACTTCTAGTTGACTACTGATTTTGAACGCACGACGTAACGAATTCTAATGAGATTTGACGGAGGATTACTTTATACATACATACATATTTTGTATTTTTATGTATCATGCATCGCCATCTTAATATTTAAAAACAAAAACAAATTTGAGATTTTAAAAATTGACAAATTGCTATATGTGCACAAATGTCATTATCCGCAATCCTTACCTCTAGAATAAATGTTCAACGTGCGTTTTAGGATATCACCCCTTTGATATTAACAATGTTTCACAGAAAGTCGTAAACCTTATGTCTAACATTAATGTGGGTGCTACCCTCAACTTCAACGCCTTTGTAACGCGTCTTCACTTTCTTAATTGTCATCAACGTTTATTTTCGTTCACTTTACAATATTTCTTCTTCTATTTAAGGACACCCCTGATGAATATTTAAGCATTTTTTCCAGTTTTTTGCACCAAACATAGAGTAGATGTTTCCAGCGTTTGTCTGGTATGTAATAGGACTGACAAACTCTGTATACGA